GTTGCTTAAGGTATGTAGTTATGAGGTTTTGTTACAGTCCAAAATGAGTAAGATAGCATCATTGGCAATTCTTTTTGTATGTTTATTTGTTCTTTGCCTTATTTATTTACTTACTTCTTATTTTGAGACAGGGTTTCACTGTTTTGCCCTAGAACTTGCTCTGTAGACCAGGCTGGCTTTGAACTCAGAGATCCTACTGTCTCTGCTTCCTGAGTGCTAGGATTAAAAGTGTACATTACTATTGCAAGGCTTTGTTCTTTGTTGTTTTTTAAATATTATTTTTTAAAAGTTTGAAGTGTGTGTGTATATCTGTGTGTATGTGTCTGTGTGTGTGTCTGTGTGCATCCATGTGTGTACAAGCTGCTGAAGTTAGTTTTCTCCTTCCATTATGTGGGTTCTGGGGATTGAATTTAGGTCATCAGGCTTGGTGACAGTCACCTTTATCCACTGAGCCATCTCACCAGCCCTATTTTTTATTTGTTTGTTTGTTTGTTGTTACTAGTTTTTGAGAAAGGACCAGGCATAGACTCACATTCATCGCAATTTCACCTCCCAAAAGCTAGAATTACAAATAGGAGTCAATATGCCTGGTAACAGTTCTTTTTGTTTGTTTTGATAGAGAGTCTTATGTAGGCTGGTGTCTAACTTGCTAGGAAGCCAAGGCTGTCGTTGAACTCCTGATCCTTGATTTCTGATCCCAGATCTTCCTGCCTTCTAGGATGACGGGCTTGTGCCACCATGCCCAGCCTGAGGACAGCTCTTTATATGAGTGACTGCCAGTGCTGAGACTCAAATCCCCCTGCCTCACCTCATTTATGTTAGGCAAATGTTCCACCACTTTCTACATCTTATCTCTAAGTCAGATGTACAATTGGGGTTGCAAAATGGAGCTTATTCTTTGGGGGGGGGGATTAGACAGGGTTTCTCTGTGTATCCCTGGCCGTCCTGGAACTAGCTCTGTAGACCAGGCTGACCTCGAACTCATGGAGATCCGCCTGCCTCTGTCTCCCAAGTGCTGGGATTAAAGGCCTACACCACCACCGCCTGACTCTTTTATTCTTCTCTTTTCTATTTTTTCATAAACAACAAAAACATTCTGGAGACTGAGCAGTCCCCAGATATGGAGTCTCAGGGTATGGTTCATGCTACAGCCTCTTCTTTTGGCCTATTGACAGCCCACTGCCTGGCCTGGGCTGGGCTCACACTTAGCTGGAATTTTTCTCCAAAGAACTTTTCCTCATCCATAAAAAATGGACCATGGGGGCTGGAGAGACAGCTCAGTGGTTAAGAGCACTGACTGTTCTTCCAAAGGACCTGGTTTCAATTCCCAGCACCCACATGGCAGCTTACAACTGTCTGTAACTCCAGGATCCAACATCTACACACAAACATATATGCAGGCAAAACACCAATGCACAACAAAATAAAAAAATAATATATTATAAAAAAGTGGATCATGGTTCCTCAATAAAATAAGATGTAAAAAGTCAGAATATGGGCCAGTGAGATGACTCTGTAGTATGCCCCTTGCTGCCAGGTTTGACAGTCTGGGTCCCATCTCGGGGAGCCCCATGCTAGAAGAACCAACTCTTAAATGTTTCCCTCTGCTGGGAGGTTGTGCACGCCTTTAATACCAGCACTAGGGAGACAGAGGCAGGCAGATCTCTGATTTCAAGGCCAGCCTGGTCTACAGAGCCCAGTTCCCAGACAGCCAGGGCTACACAAGGAAACCTTGTCTCAAGAAACCAGGAAAAAAAAAGGGGGGGGGCTTGTATCCAGAATATATAGCCAGACATTAATCCCAGCATTTGGCAGGATCTATGGGAGTTTGAGGCCAGCCTGGTCTACAGAGTGAGTTCCAGGACAGTCAGGACTACACAGTGAAAAACCCTGTCTTGAAAGCAAACAAACAAACAACAGAAAAAGTTGTCCTCTGACCTCCATACTCACACACCCTCCTCTGCCACCAATAGGTAAGCAGGGGTTCAAGAGGCAGCTCAACAGGTAAAGGCCAAGCCCAAGAATCTAAATCCAATCTCTGGAACTCACAGGGTAGAAATAGAGAAATGACTCTCTTAAGCTGCCCTCTGACCTCCACACACACACGTGCACACACATGTATACACATGTAAACACACGTACACACATGTACACATAAAACATACACACATGTAAACACACATACACAGATATACACATACACACATGTAAACACACACACACCCATTTGTGCAAAGTGCAAATATACATATAGGTATAAACAAATGAGTATGACTTTAGGTTCCTTTTTGGAAGCAGATTCTAGTCTGAGAAGATAAGTGTGACAGGGAGAGATGGTTGGTGCAGGAGAAGGAATCGCAGAAGATCGGAGACCCCAGAAAGTTAAGCAGAGTGAGAATCTGCTTGACAGTCTCTCTCTGGCCAGGCGCAGGGCGCTTCTTTCTGGAGTCATGTGGTCTTAGCCCTGGTGGAGTAGTCTGTGGCTTCACCCTCCTCCTCAGGGAAGGTGGGTGCTTGGATCCTTGTAGGCAGGGCTCCAAGACAAGCACTGGATCTTTGGGACTTTGCCAAGACGACTACAGGACCAAGGACAGGAGAACCCAAGCTGGCTGAAAACAGAAGTGGTGACAGGAGATGGAGCACAGGCTGGCTTTGACTTTTGCTTTTGGTATCAGTTTTTGGAATTGTTTTAAAGGAACATAAACCCAGGGCAGTGAGGGACTCAGCCTCCACGGGAGAATTAGCAGTCTCAGCAGACTCATCCTGTGGCTTCTTGTTTTGCTCTGTGTGGCCATACTGTGGTAGAATCCCTACCAGAGCCCCAGTGCCCAGCCCAGAGCAAAGCGGCAACGCTTGAGTTTGACTGAAGGCAAAAGTTGAAGTTTGACTGAAGGCAAAAGTATTTACCATGTGGTGAGCACTTGGTGTGACAGCTACTGGACTTCCCCCAAGGATTCTGTGAGGTGGGGTCTACCACGGCTCTTGTTTTACAGATGAGGAACTGAGGCGCAGGAAGCAAGTACAACACCTTGTCCAAGGGAAACAGATCGTGGAAGAGGTAGAGTCCATCTACCAGATAAGGGTGGGCGGGAAGTCTGTGATCAGGAAGGCTTCTCTGAGAAGGGATCATGCACAGTAACCAACCGGAAGGAGCCGATTCCAGACTGGCAGAGTGCTCCAGGCAGGAGTTATGAGTGCTCTTCTGGGAAGGGGTGAACATCAGGGAAGGCTGCTAAGGAGAAAACCAGGAGCTGGATTTGGAAGAATTAAAGAAATCTTTTTTTGTTTGTTTCTTTTGTTTTTTGTTTTTCAAGACAGGATTTTTCTGTGTAGCTCTGACTGTTCTGGAACTCATTCTGTAGACCAGGCTGGTCTCAAACTCACAGAGATCTGCCTGCCTCTGCCTCCTGAGTGCTGGGATTAAAGCCATGTGCCACCACCACTCAGCTGAAATAATCCTGATGGTTGGAAGATTCCCCCAAGTTCAGTGTGTGCCCTTCTGTCTTCCCCTTAGTCCCTCCTCTCTCCCTTTCTTCTCTCCTGTCTTTTCCTTCCCTGTCTCTCTCCTCTTCCTTCTTATTTCCTTTCCCAGTCTTCCCTCTTGTCTTTTTCTCCCCTCCTCCTCGCCTGTCTTCTTCTCTTCCTTTCTTCCCTATCCTGTGTCTCCTGTCCTGTCTCCCCTGCCTCCCCGCCCCCACTCCTCCCTGCCTTACTTTTCACCCCCTTCTGAGGTAGAGAATCACTACATTGCCCATAGGGCTCCAATGATTCTCCTGAGTAGTCTGGAGTGCAGATGGTGTGACCATCCCTTCTGTGTCTGGGCTCCCTAGGGCTGGCATCCCATGGACCATGATAAACATTTATTTGTTAATTGAACACTTGGACCAATGGTCAAGGCCAACACAGAGGTAATAAAGCTACCCAGGCAGGATGAAGCCACCCTCCCAAAGTCCCTGAATCTCCACTAGCTCTCCTTTCTTCGTTCCTTTCTTCCCCCTCACCCTGTTGTAGACCAGGTCGGCCTTGAATTCAGAGATTCACCGAGCACACCGCCACCAGAGCCCATCGAGAGAAGCATTCTTATCTGGCTATCACTTGCTGTCACCGGTTCCAGGGGCACTCCAGCATTGCTTGCTCACACACCCCTGCCTATACATAGAAACACACCTGATGTGTAGTGTGTCCGAATGGTTGATTTTAAAACTGGTCATCATCTCATTGCTTCCAATCAGCAAGGCCCCACATCCATCTGAACATCCTCCATGTAGGTCTCCAGCCCTCGATACCATCTCTCTCTCTCCCCAGACAGGGAGGTTTCCTGGGTTTCCCTGCACTTTGGCTTATGACTGAAGAGGTAATACCAGGGTGAGAGACATCAAGTTGGGGTGGGTTCAGGGAGGGACCCCTAAGAGACACTGTGATTAAGGACTCCTTGCTTTTTCTAAAACTTGCTGTGTGGCTGTCTCCTGATGGGTACTCATTCCCTGAAAAGCAGTTACCCAAAGGTAAGGTCCCTATCGCCACCACCCAATCCCTAAAGGTGGAGTAGCAGAGTATGGTGACAGGTGACAAGATCCACGACAGATGTGGTGGCAGCAGTGTAAGGGTAACAGATTCTGTGAACTTGGGCCAGGCTGGCCTGGCTTGGTTGAGTTTTTCCACCTAGGAGATGAGTGGGCAGTGGGAGCCTCAGCGATGGCCCAAATCTCCCTGTATCCCACTCTAGTGACTCTGAAGGAGCAGGTGCCTCTGGTGATGAGGAGCCTGTCCCTTCCGAGGGACCTTTGTGGTGCACTGACATGGCGGTGTAAGCCCATCCGCAGTAACCTTGAAAAGCTAGCAAGCCGACCTGGGATCTGAGGGTCCCTCCTGGCTTTGGGCAGCTGACTTGGCTGAGGCGGGACTGTGAATTCTCCTGCCGCCGCCTCCTCCGCAGCCACCAAAATAAGAGAAGTCCGAACCGGCTTCCTCCTCCCTACCCAGAGTAGGTGGTAGGGACAGTAGCGGGCAGCATACTCTACCTCGTCTTTCCTGGCTGCTGTGAGCTAGGGTTGGCTCGCCCAAGATCGGGTCACTGGCAGCTGACTCCCCTGGGACCAGGTAGGCGCCAAACCTGGTGGCAGCGAGCAGGGCAGGTGTTTCCCCGCCCCCGCCCGCCCTCACCCTGGAGGAGGGAAGACTTGGAGGTAAACCTGAACTTTCAGAGCAGAGCAAGTTGAGAGCAGGGTGGGGAGGGAGGGGGCATCCAAAAAAGAATTAAGGAGAAAAACTAAAGGAGCTTGGGAAAGACTGATAAAACCTGAGGGAGTGTGGAGAAGGCAGGCCAGAAGTTCCCCCAAAAAGCCTAAAACGGGAAATGGAGGGAACTTATGGAGCGAAATTGATAGAATTTGAGAAGAGGGCTGAAAGAGTCGCGGGAAGGTGCTGTGTGCACCCCCAAAAGGGTCTAGGGAGAGCAGTCAGAGGCTCTGAGGGTGAGAAAAAGGGGAGAAGCTGAGGGGTTTGAAAGGGGGTCGTTGTAGGTGGGGATACTGTGAGGATCAGGAGGGGATACTGAGGGAATCTGGTGTTCCAGTTCCCGTGGAGTCAGAGTGATTTCCCAGAACGCGGAGTCCAGAGTACAGTTCTGGGGTCTCGGATACCGCAGAGGTGAGGGGAAGTGGGGTGTCTGCAGCCCCCAGACCCACTTGCTGCATCACTGGGGAGGGGGCCGGGTTCCGGACGCCCTGGGGATTCCTTCTAGGTGCGGAGGCATGGGTCCTGGTGTCCTTATGTCCTGGGGAAGTCCTCACCCTGGGCACCGACAGACCTCCCTGGGTGCCTCTCCCTATCCGCGGTGGCGGTCTGAGTCCATGTCGGGATCCGGGAATTGCTGGCAGCCCCGACGGAAATCCTGCTTTTGACCGCCAAGGCCCGCAGGGGCTGTTTCTATGGTAACAAAGGGCCGGCAGGCATTTTGGCCCTGGGCCCCTGCGGACTCATGCATGGCTGGCAGCCACCTTTGGTCCCTGCCTTCGTCCCCATTTTTTTTTTTTTTTTTTTTTTAGTCCTTGGTCCGGGTGTCTTGCACAACGGAATGAGAGGGTGCTGCTTGGTGTTCAGGGATTTGCTGTCTCAGAGACCTGGGCCTTTGAGAAGACTGGGCTCTTAATTGCCATGTAGAACTCAGGAGAGTTAGGAGGCATCTCTGGATTCTTGTTTTCCTCATTGGAACTTTGGGGAGAAACTAGCTCTCCCTCAAGCCAAAGCCATGCCTAGTGGCACATGCCTATAATAATCCCAGCACTCAGAAAACCAGGTAGGATTGTCACTAGTTTGAGGCCAACTTGAGCTACATGGGGGGGGGGGTGTAAATGGAGAGGATAAGAAAGGGGAGGAGGGAGAAGAAAGGGGAGGGGAACGGAAAGGAGAGAAGAGGGGAGGGGAGGGGAGAGACTAGAAGCGGAGGCAGATTAATCTCTATGAGAACCAGGCCAGCCTGATCTACAGAGTGAGTTCTTTGCCTTCTCAAAACAAGGGGGCGATGCATGCTTCTAATCCCAGCACTCCAGGGCAGAGGCAAATGGCTGTCTGTGAGTTCGAGGCCAACCCGGTCTACAGAGTGAGTTCTAGGACAGTTAAGGCTACACAGAGAAATCCTGTCTCAAGAAACCAAAACAAAACAAAAAACCAAACCAAAACAACAAAATACCCAAAAACAAACAAACAAAAAACACAGAAGACAAAAAAGCTTTTGGGTTTTTCTTTGGGTTAGCATCTACTAAATGTCTCTGAATCTGAGGCGAGCCCATTCTGAGGAGAGCCATAGGGCTCAGATCTGTACCCTACTCTCCACACCAGGTGTCCACTCTACAAGCATGCTATAGTCTAGAACTTGATGCTGTGTGCACCCTTCCATCTGTGGTGGGGAAGTGGATGGATTAGGTTAGCAGGAGTGGGCAGAAGTCCAGAGCATCTGGAAAGGCAGAGGAGGTAGCCAAGCTGAAGGGCTGAGTCTACCATCATTCTTAGTTAAGTTTATGTGGATCAGAGAGAGAGAGAGAGAGAGAGAGAGAGAGAGAGAGAGAGAGAGAGAATGGAGTGTGGCTCGTGGCTGCACGGTCAGCTCCTGCACCCCAGGGCCCTGTGGGCTTGAAGTGGATGAATGTATTCAAGCTTGGGTGCTTATTTGTGGGTATTCTTGCAGTCCCCTGAGGCTGAAGTGACAAGGAGCCAAGGTCCCTTCCACAGGGCACACTAGGCTGGCCCATGGTGAAAGAGGGCAGGCTGCCCCCAGCCACCCGCACAGGACTAAAGGGTACTTCCCATCACTGGAATTCACACTCAGTCTCCAGCTCCTACTCATGGCTGGAAACCCCAAGTCCCAGGCTAGATAACCCATCGACTCTTGTTTTAGAGGCTGATGGGTAATTTTCTGAGACATATGGAACTATCTTTTCTATTTTTTTTTCCCACTATGTGGCCTTGAACTCACAGAGGCCCACCTGCCTCTGCCTCCTGAGTGCCGAGATGAAATGTTTGGGCTGTCACATCAGCCCTCTTACCCTCTCTGTTCCTTTTTAAGACAGGGTCTCACTATGTAACTCTGGCTAGCCTGGAACTCATTATATAGTCGAGGATGGTCTCGAACTCACAAAGATCCACCTGGTCTCTGCCTCCTGAGTGCTGAGATTAAAGGTTCCTACTGCTATGCCCAGCCAGATAGAACCACTTTTACCAACAAGTGGGGAAAACTCAGTTGATGTCCTAAGATCCATGTGAGGGGAAGAGCTAGGACAGTGTAGAGGTGGTGGCATGTCTAGAATCTGACTGTCAGGACTGGACCGATGTAGGTCTCAGGAAACGATGGGAAGTTAGTGAAAAGATGAGGTCCTAGTAGGGTATCAGTGCTTAGTGGGAGGGCTCCGAGGCCGGTGAGGGATGGCAACGCCTGCACATCGCAAACGCGTATTTGCCCCTCCAGCCCAGTCTGTAATTACCCTAAGCTCTGAGAAGAAACCGGAACTCTTGCAGGATGGTGGTTTCCTGCCACTGCCCAGAGTCTTGGTTCCTTTTTGGTGAAGTCCTCAGGGTTTACTGCCCTTGCTTGGCCCTCCCCCCCTTCTCTGGGAACTTCTCTTTCTTCTCAGCCCTGGCCAGCCCTGCAGCTCGGTCTACCTCCCCCAGCCTCAGAGAGACCTTTGCAAAGAGAGGGAAGGAAATGAAAGTTCACTGGGCACCTATCCGCTTTGTGGCAGATGCCCCGGGGACTTGGCTGCATTTGATGAGCCAGAGCGTCAGGGAGATCTCTGTCTCCTTCAGCCTCAGGGAGATGAACTGACTTGCCCGGTGCCTCAAGCCAGTTGTTGCACAGGGACAGAATTTGAACCTAGACCCATCTCTGGTTCTCCTTCATACAAGAGGAGGTTGTAGATTCCCAAGTCTACATCATCATCTTGACATGCTTTGAGAAATAGGACTCTTGGGAAAGGATGAGAAGCTTGGGGTTCTTGTGTCCAGAGATACAAATGTGTGGGAGGCAGACTTGCTGTTGAGTGTTTAGACAGATTTAGTTGGCCATTGGCAGTGTGGAAAGAATGACATTTACCAGTCAGGGACAGCACGATCCTGCCGGTGCTTTGGAGAGCCCAGCCGCAATGCCAGGAATAGAATAGAACTATGGACTGGCTTTCACAGTCATTTGAATCTCCAGTTGGCCTGTGTGACCTCAAGAAAGTCGATTTTCTGGTATATGCGAGAGGCAGGTAGACCAAGTGCCCTGCAGCCTCTCTGCTGCTGTTCTCAGCCTGGCTTGGCCACTGTATACTGAGCTAGAGCCCTCATCTCATAAAATCCTCACAGCTGCTCTGCACAGAGGGTGCAGGTGAGAAAACGGATGCTCAGACGTGTTGTTTTCCATCCAAGGCTGCAGCCTGCTGAAAAACACAGAGCTGGAGGCTGAGCGCTCAATCCTAGCCCTGTGGCAGAAAGATCACAGGTTCAAGGGGAGGGTTACACAGAGAGATCCTGTATGTCTTCCAGGGAGGAAGCCAGGGAGGGAGGGAAGAATGAGGAGGCAGGAGAGGGAGGGAAAGAAGTCGCTCACCACACAGGGAAGTAGGCAGCATTGTGGTTCAGGGTTAGACTTTAGTTGTGATACCCATAACCTGATTCCAACCTTGATAGAGCTCGTGAATTAATTGATTCCTTTCAACCTGACTAAACTTGGGGTTGGAGTTCAACCTAGTGGTGTGCAACTGACGTGCGTACAAAGTCCTGGGTTCAAACCCTAGCACCAGAACAGAACTAACACCCTTATACATAAACAAACCGAAGCCCCTGACTTGCCCGGAATGCTGGTGGTCACTTCTTGTGCTGTTCTTTTTCTGATGTTAACAAGCAGCCAAAGTTCACAAAGAGACAGGAGAGCCAGGGAGATGTGTTGTCTTTCACACAAGATGTCTGAGAAGTTAATGCTGACAGGCCTGATAAATCTGAGTTTGATCCATGGCACTCATGGCGAAAGGAGGGAACAGATTTCTACAAGTTGTTCTCTGATTTACAGACACACACACACACATCACACACACACACCACACACACACACCACACACACACACCACACACACACACACCACACACACCACACACACACACACCATATACACACACCACACATACCCACACACACCCATATACACACACACCACACACACACCACACACACCACACACACACACCATATACACACACACCACACACACATACACCATATACACACACACCACACACACACCATATACACACACCACACATACCCACACACACCCATATACACACACACCACACACACACACCACACACACGTACACACACCACACACACGTACACACACCACACACACGTACACACACCACACACACGTACACACACCACACACACATATACACACACCACACACACACACCATATACACACACCACACACACACACCATATACACACACCACACACACACACCACACACATGTACACACACACGTACACACCACACACACACACCACACACAACACACACACATACATTCACACACCACACACACACATACCACACACACATAT